TAGCCCCTCAGCAGATTGTCTTTATCTAATCAGCCGCCTTGCGCTCCCCTCCAGTGCATTTCAGGGAGCTGATAGTGGTGATATGTTAAGTGTGGAAACCTCCAGCCAACTGCCCGACACATAGAGAGTAATTCTCCTTCCTGCCACTTATCAGAGCCTGCTCATGGGAAACATTCCTCCTGGGGGTCAGGGGGCAGCTGGGGAGCTTCTCCAGAGAGGGTGGCTAAGGCCCTGGCACCCTCCTGGATTTCCAAGGCGGGGTAGGAACTGGCCTGACCACAAAATGCTGATGGAAGGGGCAGCTCTGCAGTCTGGTGTCTTGTCCCATGGGGTGAGGTTTGTCCAGCCCCTGGGGCATGGCTGAGGAGCCCCATCCTCTTCCATCATCTCATGGGACACCAACATGGAGCAGAGAGCTACAGGGGGAAGAACAGGGGGGATGCCTCAGTGGTTTGGGGAGATGCTCCCACTGCTGAGGATGGTGATGCAGGGCTGGTGGGACACTGAGGCAGGCTGTTCTCTTTGGGCAGTAGCCACCTCAAGCAAACTCCCCTCTGCTCAGGCTAAAGAGGTTTTGTGGGAGGTCTGTAGGAGCCCTCTGCAGCCACTGCCCCGCTGAGGATGCCCCATCACACCTGTCTGAGCAGGGCACAGCTCAGGGCTTGACAGCAACATGAGGATGAGCTTCCTACCACCCTGAAAACCACATCACAAACACCAGCACCAAAAGCCCCCGAACCCAGCGGAAGCACTTCAGCAGGTGCTGGAATCACCATCCCATGTTTCCCCTTCTACAGATCTGCTCGGCCTTTGATGGACCCTGCTGGAACCTCTTCAAAGAGGGAAAGAAACTAGGGTGAGCAGAAGGAGCTGCAGAAGGAATCTCCAAAAATAAAATCGCTTTAAAGATAAGGCAGGAGAGGGGGTGAGCAGAGAGCTCACAGGGGGGGTATGTGCCCTGAGAAGAATGTGGGAGGCTGGGCCAGCTGGTAGGTCTGGGCTGAGAGCTCATCCCACTAACAGGGCACTTGTGGCAAAGGTACTTGGCACTGGACCCACCACGGCCTCGGAGCCCTCCAGGGTGTGGGTGGAAACCTGACTCTGAGCCCAGGACAGAGAGGCCCAAGACCACTAGAGACCTCAGAGGGATCTGTGGTCCAGCAGCACCTGTGGCTCTGCAGGACACTGAAACTGCCATCTTGGCAGGGCTGAGCACCTTTGTCACACCATGGTTAAGAGGGGTCTCAGCGCTGATGGCACGTGGGAGATTTTCAGCAGACACATCCACAGAGTCCAGCTCTGTGGAGCATTTTCATTCATGGAGAAGAATGGCACTGTGCAGAGCCCTGATGTTACACCATGCCAATGAAAGGCATCTTCAGCCTGTCCTCTCTGCTGGAGCTCAAGCCACAGGGCACAGGTCTAGAGTTCTGCACCCCATGGGTCTCTCAGCAGGGATGGAAGGCAGAGGATCTGCCTGTCAGCAGGGTGATGGGGAGATGACACCCCAGACTCCTGGGATGTAGCAACAAACCCTGCCTGTGTGCTGGGTGGAAGGACTAACCACTGCTGGGCCTTCAGCAGAAACCCCCTCCAGTGCTTAACTTAGGTTCAGCACAGGTCCTGAGGCTGCAAAAATCTCTCTGCAACCTGGGCTGTGTGCCCAGGCTGAAGCCACATGCCCCAAGCAGCTCCTGGTGCTGCTATTCTGGCTGTGACAGAGGCCACACCACATCCAGCCTGGGCACAGCACCGTGCAGCTAATCCTTAATCACCCTGTGTCTCAGTTTCCCCTGATCTCAGGAGGACACAACATCCCAAGCCTCTTTGGGGTGTGAGGGGTACTGAGTGGGGAACAGCAAAGCCCTGCAGCCATGGGTTCTCCAAGCATCATCTCACTGGAGTACTGAGTGGGGAACAGCAAAGCCCTGCAGCCGTGAGCCCTGGTTCTCCAAGCATCATCTCACTGGAATTATTCCTAATTTCTATGTGCCCTGGGTCCCATTCCCAGCTTGGGCAGCCTGTGGTGGTGCTGCTGGGGCTGGGGTGTGCTCTGGGCTGTGCCCACTGCATTGTACATGCTGTTTTTGGGGGCTGCATGGGGTAAAATGGTGTGGAGGAAACCCAGCAGCTCCTCTGCAGAGGGATGTAGAGGCTCAGGAGCCCCTGTCTAGTGGTGTGCCTGCCCTGGGAAGCTGCCCATGGAACACCACAGCTGCGGGGAGCATCAGACCCCTCTAACAAAACCGCTGAGTTTCATTTTCCTGTAACCAGAAAAGCAAACTCCGGGGTTTGCTGTGGTTGTGGCAGTGGCTGATGTGCCATGGGAAATTGGCTGAGCCCTTTGAGCAGAAGAGAAGTGGGTACAGAGCCCAAGCCCTGAGGTCCTTCCCTCTTCCCTTGCTCCTGAGCAGTCTGTCTGGGGAGAGACTGAACCAGAGCTGAGTGAGAGGCTGGGATGCTCCAGCTTGGAAAGGCAGCAGCCACACACATCCCACCAGGAAGCAGCTCTCCTGGTGGGGTGTGGGGAGGGAGCAGGAGGATCAATAGCTCAGGTACAGGAGGAAACAGTGAAGGTCTCATTCCTCTACTCCTCTCTGGAGCAGGCAGCACAGGCAGCTTGGTGAGCTGCAATGCCTCCCCGAGCTGGAGTCTCTTGCTCTGCCTTTGTACTCGCCTGACAATACAGGAGTAAAAATAACCAGGCTGCATCTGCAGAGAGATAAAAGCGAAGTTTGCCTTTTGTGTCTCCCCGGGCAGTGGGACAGCAGCACCAATGGAGCTGTGTGGACATGACACATGGGAATTTCTGACATATCTTTTCCCACTCTGACCTTGACAGACACAATAAAAAGGGGCTTTGCTGCACACACACACACAGCCACTCCGTCCTATCCCCAAGGTCAGTAAGAAAGAGCATGTCTGTGTGCACGCTTGTCCTCTGCTACTAACCCGCTTCACCTCGGCAGGGTGGATGTTCCTGGAGGACAGGGGCTGGCTCTGGTGGGACAGGAGAGGGTGGGACAGACCTGGATCATAAGCATTTTTGCTATGGTCTGTGCACTTTGCTGAGTTAGTGGCTACAGCTGTGGGCGCTGTGGCTTTTCAGAGCTCAACTCTGCGGTACCACATGGGATGGGTTTTAGAAAGCACTGCCTTAAAAGAGCTTTTCCAGACAGCTGTCACCATGGTCTACACCAAGGGGTCTTCCCAGGGATAATTCCTTCCAATCTTGCTTTTATCTTCCTGCCATATTGCTCTGCAAAACAGACACAGGTCTTTGCAGAGGTTTTGTGCCGGGCTCCAACAAGTCTGTAGAGCTGGAGGTGGTTTTAGCTGAGTTTATCAAGGAATGAGGTGTCCTTGACAATCTCTGGTGACGCCTAAAATGCGGATGTTGACACCAAAGTGGTGTTGGCTCACCCAGCTGGGACTTGCTGTGTGAGGCTGATAGCAGCAGAAGGGATAAGTGTGCAGTAATTGTCTTGCTATTATAGTTATTATTAGCTGGTGTTATTGTCACTGTCTTCTCTCACTCTCTAAAATTACAGGCACATTTGGTGACCGTGCTGCTCTTGGTTATCAGCCCAGTGGTGGGTGCTTTCCCCATGCACTGACTCCTTGTCCTTCCTCTCAGTGTTCAGGTGTCTTTCACTCTTCCTTCACTGCTGCCAAGTCTTTGTCCAGCCAGGCAAGATGTCTATGCTGGACATGAGCGAGTTTGGGGAGGCTGCGGAATTCCTCCGGAAAAGCTACACAGAGCAGCTGAAGCTCCAGACTATCCCATTCGATGGTAAGACCCCAAGGCAGCCCTTGGCACAGTTCCCCCTTGGCCATGGCTCCCTTTGGAGAACATCCCCATCCTTTTCCCAGTGCTGGTACTTTGGTATTGCGGG